TTTTTTTTGTTTAAACTATTTTTGTTTACGCATTAACATTATTCCCCACCGTTGCCAATATAGGATTGGAGCGACATCGACACTTCCAGCCTGCTCATTGTCAACCAGACGATACTCTTGTCACGTGATGAAGTGGAGAATCACTCTGGGAACTGGACTCTGGTCAGCGAAAGCGGTCAACTGATAGACATCACTGTAGACTCCGATGGACAGGTACGTTTTACGCTGGAGATGCTACATGTAGTTGTTTTTTTGTTAATTTCCCTGGTTGCAGGTTTGTTTGCTGTATTTCAGCTTGCGAAGAGGAAAATCACGAAGTTAGAACAGAAGGGACAACATGCTTTCGCTGTTGCGCAAGTTCTGTTTTTGTTTGTTTTTTATTGCTGTTGTCATTGTCGTTGTCGTCGTCGTCAGTGCCGCAGATAATGGCACTTTCAGTTTTGAAACTATTATTATATTAAGCTATAGAGCTATTGTTTTGTTTTGAAAAGGGATGGGGTGTTGCTTGTTTCTTTGAAAATGGCTGTCATTTATCATTATTGTTCACTTTCTTTGTCAAAGTATCGTTCTTTCTTGTGTTGGGGCAGGACACCTCTGTTCTCTTCTTTGTAACTTTATGGAAAGCAGGAATTGAAGGAAGAGTGTATGTGCGTTTGTTATTTGTTTGTTTTTTTGTTTTTTTTCTTTTGTGTGTCTGTGTGTTGTTGGGGGTTTTTTGGTGGATTTTGTTGTTGTTGTTGTTGTTGTTGTTTTGTTTTTGTTTGTTTGTTGTTGGGTTGTTGTTGTTTTGTTTTGTTGTTTTGGGGGGGCGAGCGTGATTGATGTTATACTTGGGGGGGGGGGTCGCCCTGAAAAATGAAAATTGACGGTAACCCCACCATCATTGAGAGCATATCATATCGAGGCTAGACCGGGTGGGCTGTAAATATTTATCCTGTATCATCTTTTATAAAGTCATTATTGACCTATGTCCTCAGATGTATGTGAACAACGTAAGTCTCGTGGATTACAATATAGAGACGGCTAACGGAATATTGCACATAACAGCGGCACCCATTGTTGATTACGTGAGTATGCAAGCGAACAGACGCTAGAGTATACGAAAAGGCTCCAGTGCGAGGTAGCGTGGAGGAATCAGGCTCTCGTCAAAATAATGAAATCAAAGAAAACAGCAGTTTTCTCCCTGCATAGCAATTTTTATCAAATTTTTGTTTTTTGGCTCAACACCTTTTATGTCCATTTACAACATATTCCTTTGAGGATTTCACCGAAAACGTTGATTAAAGGCACAAAAATATAAATTTACAGTTTCCATGGACTCTCCAGCTTGGCATATACCAAGCTTTGGCGGCCATTTTCTCACTAATTTTACCTCTTAAATCAGGTGACCCCCACCTCCTTCAATCCAAAATGTCTCCACTTCTATTGAAGATGGATGGGTAATTTTTACACTGAAAGCAAGACAAATGAACAAGCTTTAAGATAATACCAATAACTCAATATGCCCAAAAATTGACGAGAGCCTGATTCCACCACGCTGCCTCACTAATGTTTATTAACTTAATTTGTTCAGTCGGAGTCGGTAATCTGCTTGGGTCAAAAGTACAGCGGCAGTGTTGAGTGAGTGCGAGTTCATGTTTGTATGTGTGCCTGTGTTTGTGTATAATTGTTTGTGTGCGTGTGTTTGCGAGCGTGTGGTTTTAGTGATTTTAAATGAGTGCCTTGGTATTTACATGTATGTGTGTGGCTGTAGGAAGGGGATGGGGTGTGCAAGAGAGAGAGAGAGAGAGAGAGAGAGAGAG